AAATAGCGCAACAGGGCGGAGGGTATGTTTCTGCGAGGAGGAAATACACAGGATTAATGGTTGAATGGTTTTCACTCGTGTAATATGGAAAAGAACGTAGAGGTGGAGGGATGTTCGGGGGAAAAGGGGGTGATCATTTTTGTTTTTCATCTCGAGACGGGATTTTATTAAAATTTGTGGACGTGGATTCCTGGGAGAAAGGAAAATTCCTTGTCTTTGTTTTCGCTTTGCGCGAATATACGTCGTGAGATGTGTTTATTTTTGAAGAGACGTAAATGTAAATAAAGGGAACGATACAGGAGATGTAAAATCGAAGGAAGATAGGCTCTCTGTTAATGTTTAGTAGGAAATCTGACACGAACATTATCGGTTCAATTATGAGCTTGTAATTCTTTCGGATTTTATTATTCGTATTATTTGTTTCGTCATTTTCTTTTTTATAAGAGTTCCATACATGGGTAGCGTAAAATCCGGAGAATTTTCTTATTATTATTTGCATTTAGATTGCGTTCCCTCTGAATTTTCCAAATATAGTAAATAGAAGCATAAAAGATACAAGTATTTTATGTAGCAATGGAAATTTCGAATAAATCTTCGAATAAATATTGATCTTAAATTCGTGTACAAACAAATATAACAAATATAATAAATTTGAAACATGTGTTTAAAATATAATATGTTTAAATTTTCAAATATTATATTAATATGTATTATCTCGTGCAACTTTGAATAATCAACAGCATACGATAATTTATTGAATCGAATCAAATTTCAAAATCACACATACACGATTTCACATCATTTATCATTCTTTTTCAATTCTCCGTTACATCCTTTCTTCACTTTGAAATTTCCAAACAAGGTGCAATCAAATACTCAAATAATTTATTTTGCAAAGTAACACACGAGCAATACAACGATTAATTTTTCCTAATTTTAACATCGTTTGTTCTCTTTTCAATTAGACATCTCAATAGATCGAACATTTTGGCAATTTTCCAAAAACTAGAGGTCGCGTTAGAAGGCTCTCGGCATGTATTTGATATTTGATGTAAAGACGTTTCGTGGTACATCAACGTAGCTACGCCTCGCTTCATTCTTCGCCCCTTTTTGCGGCGCGCTTTGACCGACAGGGGAAGATTGGATATTTCTTTCCGGGAAAGGTGCGCACCTGGCTTTCCCTTCGACAACCAGTCGAGAACGAGACGCGTGTATATCGGTGAGACCTGCAACTTCTCTCACGAGTGGAACGCAAAAATGTGCACACAACGACAGCCACGATCAAAAAGAAGAAAACGAGGAGACTTGGTAACACGCGAAACATTCCATTGAAATATAGGGAAGAAAAGAAAAAAAAAAAAGAAAGAAAAGAAAAAAATAAAGAAGAAACGAAAGGGATGACGTCGAAAGAAGGAAGGAAGGGTGAACGGTTGATCGAGAGAGGATGGATGAAGAAGAAGAAGGGGGAAAACAACTAAAAACAGCTCGATCTATCGACATCCTATTTCGTTTCCTATTACGCGAACGTCTGAAACAGGCGATTTATTTGGTTTATTTTCATATGAAACGTTCTTTGGCACGATCTCAAAGGAGAAGTCGAGCCTCTACGTCCTCTCCACCCCCACAGCTCTTTCCCTTCCTCCATCCCTCTTCATCCTGGATCCCCACGGTTTCTTCACACACGATTACGATCGATCCTCACCGAAACTAATATCCGAATTTTTGTAATTCCTTTTGCCGGATATATTGAAAGCATCTTCTTCGAAGGAAACGTACTCATCCTTTTATCCCTCCTTCCTTTCGATAATTGGCTCACGGAAAGAAAGAAGGAAAGAAGATACGCAAAGTCTCGTAGGTGTACAAATTCTTGCTTGTTCCCTCGCTTTTAATTCGCGACAAACGCGAGCCGTCATTCGCAAATTAGATTCGAAACGAGAGCGGCTGTTTTGGCAATTAGAGTCGCGAAAGTTGAACGACGAGAATAAGTTCTCTCTCCCCGGGCTCGAGAGGATTCACGCGTACACGACTTTAAAACGAAATATTTCATTATTTGCAATTATAACTGTTGCGCAGTGAACTTTCGTTGTTGCGAAGCTAACCGTCTGAAATTAACCGTTCTCCGCGCGAAATACTCACTTCCTGCCTTCCGTTTTCGCGCTTGTTGCTCTGTGGAGTGGTGGCCGTAATTTTAAATCTACTTGTTTTGCGATGAAACGATTTGAGCACACGAGTGGATGTTATTTTAGGAAATTAGGATTGTTATATTGTTTTGGAGCATTGTAGTTTTTTGATTTTATGATAATTTAAATTACGAAGAGTTTGAAAGGGTATGATCTGCAAGTAAGTCTCAAACTATAATTCGATTAATTGTTTAATTTGTTTAATTGTTCGTATAAGCGCGAAAATTTTTTAATACTAATTTTTATTTATAATATACATAATGGGATTAATCCGTTGGAATATTTTCAAAACTGTTGATGACAATGGAATGAATCAGATATGTGAATAAATTCTTTATCAGCTGGACTTGTATTCTTATTAAATATTTTTTAATTTCATTCAAGTATCATAAAAATTGATCGTACCAGTAAATTTAAAGAATAGAGAAAAATCCCAGTGACCCATCGTTGTTCGTTGACCAATTAGAAGAATTTAATTAACATCCTAGCGAAATATATATAATTTTTATTAATCAACGAGTCAAATCAGCGTAAAAATCACTTGGCTAGAAAATTAAATTAAAATTGCATCGTACGAGCATTCGTATTTCAACGAAATAGAGGCGAAAGATTACACCAGATGGAAAAATAACTCGTTCGATGCAGTCCCACGATTCTTTTACAACAACCGATGCGACTGGCCGATGATCGAGTTTCCACGTTTTATGGAATTATCGGGGAGAATCGATGGCGTTGAATTTTATTTTGACATTTATACGCGCATCGAAGCGTGTAATCAGCAAAGTGGTCCCGGATACAGTTTCCATCCCAATATAAATTGGCGGCCGCCTGACGTCTGTTTAATCGTTGCCGGCTGCAGAAGTAACGAAATTAAATAGACATCGGGATAATGATAATAATAACAATAGAACAATTGTACGTTTTAAGCGGAACAGCGCGCAAAAGCAGCCACCAGTGTTCCGTGAACGCAGCATCATTAGTGTCAGCTGGCTCGTGTAAACGAATTCTGCTCACATACGGTTGTTGTCATTGTTGTTGTTACATTTATTCCGCCGGCTAGTGGACAGATACTCTAATTTCTCGTTTCAACGTCTGAACACGTTGTTACATTAAAACGTGATTTACGTAACAACCGTGGCACAGAATTTGTTGTGTACTTAAATTTTAAATTATTATCAATTGTGTACAACCGTGTGAAACAAACCGTGAGTAATTTGCGTTGAATCCAATCCAGAAATATTCCGATTCGTTTTAAACCATTGAACATGGACGGTGAATTGACTCGTTATTTCAAATTAATTCTGCGAAGTTATTCGGATATATGAATGTTTTGTTGAAAGTTAAAAGCTGTTTGCGCGTGCGGGATATAGAAGAAATATAACGATTTTATACGATAATTATAATATAATGATTGAATTTTTTTTTTTTTAAACTTCAATCGATATTGATATTTGTAAATTGAAATTTATATTAAGAAACAAAAGGGAAATAAGTTGGGATTAATTAAAGTTGAAAATTGAATATTTAGAATTCTGAAAATTAACATTTTTTTATTATATAATTGCATTATTTTTATAATTAATATAATCTAAGAAATGAAAGAAAAATTATATAATTCTTTCACAATGAATTGTTCGAGAGAAATTCGAATGAACTGTTAAAAATACTTATATAAATTTCACATCTTGAATATTACAATGCGAAAAATTGATATTCTTGATATCGAAAATTTCGATAATAAATATAATTACTTTCTATAGTTTCCAACTTTTAATATTATTACACTGTCGGAGTTAATTGATTCGAATCTAGTACAAAGAAACAATTGAAATTTTTATTGTTTCTGACCGGTATCGCGGGGAGAGCTAATTTCAAAGGTTGTTCCCATTGGTAACAGAGATGTTTCAGTGACGTGCAATCGTGTTCTCGGATATAAAACCGTCGTTAAACTTCGTTTTTTATAGGTTGACGCACGATTTCGGGAAATGGGTTAATAGAATCCCGATTCGAGCACGCCACTGAACGAGGTCGACCGTTTAGTTCTCTCCTCGAAGAAGAGGAAAAGTTCATCCTTTGCAGGTAGAAAAAAGATGCAATTAGCTCTTCCGTTTCTTATCCTTCAATTTATAATCGCATCAAACTTCTCATCGCGTGCTTTGATCCTTGGCGAAAAAATCTCTGAGAAACGAAGAATCAGAGGAAAAAGAAGCTGAACTAAGGGATAATGAATGACGAAGGAGCACGGATGTTTCTTTTTGCCGAATAATCTCCTTTATTGAAATCGAAGAAAATTGTTTTTCCATTGGACGAACTATTTTCTTATTCCCTTTTCGCTATCGATACCGTATCGATACCTTTTAATAAAGAAACTGAGATACTTGGCTTTGCAATTAAACTCCAATGGTGCGAAATGGTTTTATCATTAGGGAAAATCTCATCATTTTGTTCAATTTTAATCATAAAATACCCGAATGCTGTATAAAATTCTGTAAAAATTAAAATGCTGTAAAAATTAATTTAATATTTATCAGTATAGGTAGAGCAATGAATAAAAGATAATGTATTAATTAAGACCATAAATTCACCATTCCTTATGAACAATCGTCTGAATTTATTACAAGTCTTTTGTTTAAATATTAAATTTTATCTTTAATTTAAAAAAAATCACTTCTTTCTTCGTGTTTCTTCGCACAATTTAAATTAATATATTGAAAGGAAACATTTACGCACAATGAATGTTTCAATAACAATATCTCTATGCCAATAATAAACATAAGGTTAAAGTCTCTATTTACAAATCCTAATCTTCGTTTCAAAGAATATACGCTATCTCTATCGTTCAACGAAAACAAAAGCCTTCTGTTTCGTATCGAAATCCAGTCAATTATACGAATTCCCACGGTACACATCGTTGCTCCGGTTCATTTAACGATATCCATTCCAAGCGTTGCGTTTTACATCGGTGGACATCGATCGTCACCTAATACCGCAATTTCCGCGATGATCCACGGATTTGATATCAAAGTGCCAGCTATTGTAAAGCGTTTAAGGACGATTGCATAACCTATAAAGTTCGTTGCGGGATAGAAAGAGAGAGAGAGAGAGAGACGAATAGGCTCGACAAAGGAGGACAAGGAGATTGAAATAGGAACCGAAGATGAGAACAGAAGGGGAGAAAGAGAAAGAAAAGGACGAAAAGGAAGAAAGAGGGTGAATGAAGAAACGAAAAAGAGGGTATTCTGGAAGCTATCCGACTGAGAAGCCAGACACCAGGACCGTGTTACTTCCAGGCCGCCGATGCCTTTTGATCTTTCAAAGTCTAGACTTCCTCCAGTCTTCTAACCTATCCGAGGCAGTCGTGCTTACCAGGAAGTAAATGCTTCGAGACCGACTTATCGAAACTTCACGGAACTGTTCTGATATCCGTCCCCCTTGCAAACCCTTTCCTCGCGAATCAACAAAGAGATACTGCTTTTTTGAGGGTAAGTCGTGCCAAGTGGAAATTATTTTCTTAATTTGTTCTTTCTTGGGAGGGGAAGAGATTATTAAGAATATCGTTTAAGCGTATATTTGAAATCGTTTCTCGAGTAAATATTTCTTGAAGTGATTCCTCGATTTGGAAATAAAAAAATCTTGAGAATTAAGAAAGTCAAGAAATTTATTGCACGAGAATTAATTTTGCAAAAGAAATAATGGGAAACAATCTTTATTAAATTGAAGGCGAATCATTAGTGGTGTTCGTTTTAAAAGTTAGGATTAACTTTAAAAACTTGTAGGGGGATTGAAATGAGATTGCTGAGATGCGAGATATGTTTAAATTGAATGCATAGTTCGGACTAAACGACATTACTGTTTGGTCTGATCCCGGTTACTCGAAGAGCCGTGCGATTTCAATAACTTCGCTCTTCTGAAAACAGAAACAGATGCTGTTTCCCAATCAAATGATTCATTTAGTGTGTTGCTAGATGCGGACTCGCTTTTACCCCAGGGCAACGCGACAGTTTCTAGTAGCTACATGCTCTAATTGCTATTAACTCGGAAATACGTGCATCGAATCCGCCATGTTGCAGAAAACTCCTCGAAATGATCGTTGTGGAAATCGTTCGTGCAGTTAAATGCATTTTGTTTGTTCCCGTGTAAAAGTTACATTGTTTTATAAGGTAAAGAGATATACGAAGACCTAGATTACAAGAGCTTAATTACAATCATACCAATAAAATATAATATTATAATATTAACAAACGTGGAAATTAAAATACAAAGCTGCAAAGTTGAATTGTTCAAAATTGTTAAATTAAAATACTTATATAAAAGAATTTAGCTCCTATTAAAAGTTGTATCTTCTTTGTTAAATAAATAAAGTTCCAAGAGAATGAACAATTTTCTCTCGGACTGTAATTAAAACATTTATCCACCATCCTCGCAGTTTTTTCTGATGTTCTTCAATAACAAACAAGAAACAATTTAATTTCCAACCTTAATTTAATTTCTAATTAAAACCAATAAAAACGAATTAGACCAGAAATCATTTATATTTTGATTTTAATGTTTGTTATATTATAATCTTATTACTATTATATATTTCCTCTTCACTATATATTAAAACAAAGAAAAAATTATTTTCAAGTAAATCTGATTCAAGATCCAAATTCTTAAATCATTATTATAAAATTAAAATTGTAGATGTACAGAGTCAATTTTTACAAAGAAATGTTAAGTGAAGACACACTTCGTTTACATAAAATGAGTGTGGATCAACTTAACATAAATCACAAATTTCAAATTTCATCGATTGGAAAGAAACGATTTCAACGAATCATTTATCACTCTCAATCATCCCTTTTCATCACTTTCAATTAAGCTTCCAAGAGGATCCTCCGATAAAGATTTGTAAAATGGTTAAAGAAAGGAAGGATCACACAGTGCTCAATGTTGGAAAAAAAGTCCCGATTGATCTTTCGTTTTAGGGCAATGGTGTAGTCAACCATCCCTTTGTACTCTCTCGCCCCTTTCCAACCCCCACCACCATTTCTCGCGCGGATCCTCAACGAATAACCTTCCTCGTTCACAGAGCCGTCGTATAACCCGCCTAGCTACTTACCTTCGACTTGGTTGAATTAAGCCGGGGGAAGTCAATTGGAAAAGTTTTTATTGGGCTGCGTTTAGGAATTCCACCGCCATATCGTTTCGATCCGAGACAACTGGTATTCCTACTCCTGCACCCTGATGATCCTTCGCGTGTTATTGCGCCCCTCCTCCATTTTCATACGACTCCTTCTCCTGCTTGATCACGTTTTATTTTCCCTTCCTCTCGCCGCCTATGCTTTACGAGCCAACACGTAATGGGCCGGTTTCCTCCTGGATCACGCTCGACCAGGCAACTCGCTCGAACACGATGAATCAACCCTGTACCGTTTCCATTCTTAATAATATATCGAGAATCTCATGGTCGACTGGATATCTTCGCGGAGAAAGTTTCAGTGATTCGATTCGAGCGAACAAGTTTGCTTTCTTTGAAGGAAAAAAGATTGCTGTTTCTGGTATATATATACGGAGATACTGTATAGAGTACTGGATTTAGTAGTTGTTTCTAACAAGTGTGTCTATAATTTTTAAATTGATCTAATTATTTAACGAATATGTAATCGTAAATTGTAAGGTGATCTCAAAACAAGGGAAAGGAAAAATTTACGTTTTAATATTTGGAATTCTTGATTCAATATCAATTTTTATTCTCTTTAGCTTAGCATTGGTCATATTTTCAAATGAATCTAAAGACGACGCGATCGATCTATGTATTTAATTTCAATATTCTTTTTTGTATATACATTTTGTACAAACAATTTTAACTATTGTTTCACACTTTCAAATCATATTTTCAAACGTGAAAAATTGTAATCGCTTGAAAACACGTTGCCTCGACAAAGGATCCGTCAACAAAACACGTTTACGAACCGTTTCACCGATTCCCGCCGACTTCATCCGTCATCGTCGATACACACACTCGGTCACCAGTCAATAGCCAAAAGGCCCGATATTTTGGCAGTGTGGATATTTTTCGAGGCAGCCGCGATGTTCGACAAACAATGAGAATTTGCAGCGCGTTTCGAAAAGAGCCGCGTGTACCGGAAACGAAGCAGGAAGCGGGAGCGGTGGAACGTGGCTCTCGAAAAACCAGACTGGCCGACATTTTTTCTCCTTCCGCGTCTGATCGATGGAAGCTTTATTGGATTTCACGAACAAAAAAAAAAAAAAAAAAAAAAA